AGTAAGGTATATGAGGGCCTCAGTCCGAGCAATCGCCGGTACTCTAGCCTCGCTGCCTACTTACATTCACACACACTAACACAACCACCGCCGGGACACATGATGCACACCCTCGTGACGGTACGTATCTAAGTGCACCATCATCATCGTCACCATCATCATCAGCGTCACCGTCGTCGCCATTCTTCCTTCTCTTCGTGATCGTCCAACGACTCTCTCTGCCAAAAGCGCCTTCGAGCGAGCGAGCGAGCGAAAGGCGAGGAAGGAAATCGCGTGTGATGTGATTGAAATGTGGCTGTGACCAGTGCATATCCGTATTGTGAGCGCGACGGCACCCACGTCGGGGAATCGACGTCCACGTAAACGCCTTCCGAGGAACTCGTTCTGTTCTTATCTCAATTACATCTCCTTTTGTTACTCTCGGCAGATTCGTGTCTCTTAACTTTCCACCCATCACATTTCTGTGAACAATTGCGGCGAACAAAATCTGGCTTGTGGAATCGCTACAGGTATAATTATGATCACCGTGATGAAAGTTCGCGGGCGATTTGTCGCAGAAATCGTGCCAAATTGTCGTGGTATCGTTAACGGAATGATTTTAAAAAACAATCGTGGAGGATCGGGAAATTTTCTTTTCTGTCAGGGACAATGCCGGTCGGCCTATCGTCGATTCTTAGCGAGGTTTTGCGTCGATTTGTTAAACGATTCATTTTGTTGATCGATTCCGACCGATCCGCCCTGGGATGAACATCAAGTTGCCGCGGTAAGAAACGGCAAGTCAAGACGGCGTCAAACGCGCACGAGTCGTGTTGCGCAATAGCCCCATGATCCCGTTTTCTACTTTCTTCGACGTTGCGGAAAAATTTATTAAGGTTTCACCTATTATGACGCGCCAGCGGCGTTTATTTTTATATCACGCTCGCCAGCCCGGCGGAAAGAAGGTTACATAATTCGTTATGATCGAGCGCGGTCGCGTGCGATGGCCGGCGAGAGTATAAACGGCTCGCTTGGTGCAGGTCGCACCAGCGTCAGTTCACTTTTAAACCATAGTTAGTTAACCCCTGACCGTGTGGCCACGCGCCCAGTTTCTTTTCTCCCTTCATTTTTCTTTCTGCTTTTCTCCTGTATTTTTTGTCTCGCGCGAATCATGTACAATATTTCAAAACATGTCGTAATATTAAATTAAATGCAAAATTAAATTTTACATAATACAAACCTGAATTTGAACAAAAATTTGCTTTTAATTAAATTTTAATGTAATTATTAATATAACAATTAATTAACAAAATAGATATATATAAATTTTTTAATTATATATTTTAATGTAACTATTAAAGTAGCAATTAATATAAAATTAATTTAAACTTAAAAATTAAACCTGAATACAATTATTAATGTAACAATAAATATGAAATTAAATTTTACACGATCTAAAGTTAAAATTAAATAAAGAAAATAGGAGAAGTGTGGTTTAATTATTTAAGCTTGCTCTATGAAGAATAGGAGAAATAATTGAAAAAAAATCACGAGTCGGGATAGTTGCGAATCGGCAATGAGCAAATACCTGTTTCCATTTAATAGCTACCGTAGAGATTTGTACAGCGGATTACCGATGGAGCACACGTGAAGATAGAAATACGACGAAAACAGCTAAACATCAAGAAACTGGGGAATCAATTAACAGCCGGTTCAGTTAATCGGAGTCGATTAATCGGCAAGTCGCCGGTTCAAGCAGCCTGCATTTCCGACGTATCACGTTCGAGATCAATCGAAACCGCAGGAAGCATACTATGCAAATCGAGCGAATTCATTAATTATCCCCGTTAATTTTAGCATCGGCACGTGTTTATAGTCGCGGAGGTGAATGCGGAACGCGTACACGTACGGTTACACGTGAGCGAGCGCGATTAATAACGTTGTTTATTGACTCTCCGTTCCGCGAGTTCGTTCCGCGACGCGAAACCCGTTGCGACAGTAACGGGCAAACGCGGGATCCAATACCTTCCCCTCCATCGAGTTATGCACGGCTTATTCTAAATTGTGTCGCAACGCGATCGCGTCTAGCGGTTAAGGTTCCATCGTCGGATAGCTTTAAGTTCACGCGCCACCGCGCTGTGTGACCTCACACAATTGCATTTCACCGGGTTAACGGTTCATAATTCCGTGACAAGCACCCTGCGCCACTCGTACGGAAAGATATTCTGCTTTATTTCGTATTGAACCTTGAAGTTCTTTGCAAAAACGCAACGGATTGCAGTCACCAGACGTAAAAATCGCGCAATCTCAGCGAGACTGAAACGGGGAGAATTCCTAAAATGTCCACACAGAAAAAAGTGCTGGACTCAAGTAAATAATTACTCCGATACTCCGCAACAAATTTTTACTTGGATCAAATAATGCTTACTTGATCCAAGTATATTTTCCGAGTGAATTATCCAAAATATATTTATTTGAGCTAAGTAAAATTTATTTCATTCAAGCAAAAATTTGCTAAGGAATATTGGAATAACTGCTTACTTAAATCTAGCACTTTTTTTCGTGCACTGAGAAGAAAGTACTTAGAAATTTATTCGCGGATATGAAGTTTATTTCACAGAAATATTATTTCTTAATTTCATATAAACCTCATTTCTCTGAAATGAACCTTATATCTCACAAATAAATTTTTAAGTACGTTTTTCTCAGTGTGTTATCGTTAACTATTCAGACAACATAATGTCTAAAATTGGAACATATGACATCCGAAAGACATCTTAATGATTCTTACGTGCAATTTTCTTAACTTTATCTCGCGGTAAAGCAGAAAAATGATTGGCCCATTTTCAATCATTGAGAGAACTCATACTTNGTAATTACCTGTTTTTCAACCTCTCAAATCAAGCTACATTTTTATCAATTTAAATATATTTTAATAGCTTGTAGTAAAACTTGCTTGAACGCAGTAATGCCTTAATTTTTAAATAAATTATTAAAAATATAAGTGTAAAATAGTTCTAAATTTAAGAGAATATTTATATTAGAACTATGTAACACTTTTTTTTCTATTAAAAAGTTTTAGTGGTTCCAAATTTCCATTTTTCTATCAAATAAATACTTTTAAAAATAAATTCTAATATTCTCAATATTATCAACTTAATACTTGTCATAATTTTTTCAACATATACTCGTATAAGTAAATGTCTACTTATACAAAGGAAATGTTGTATTATATACAGTCAATTATATTTCTACTTACTATATTACGTACTACATATTACGTATTATATATTACTTACATACTATATATTACATATTAGTATATGTTATTACACTATTACATAATCCTAAATATTGGCCAAGAAGTATCGAAATAACCATTTCACTGGGATCAAGTAAATATTACTTAAACGGCGGCGCTTTTTGGAACTTTTTTTTTCAGAGCATACAACTTGCTATAATAAACATGTTCTGTGATTCTTAAAATTGCTACCAGTGAAGCCGAAAGCTCGGCGATAGTACGAAACTCGTTGCTGAAATGAGAACATAGCCGCCTAAAAATGCGTTTAACAAGCCGTGACTAAAAATTAGAGTCGAAACAGCCACATCACGTAATACACGAGCGGGGTCGCTGGCCGCGCGTGCAATAATCAGCATGCGAAAGGCACGATTTCGAGCGAAAAGAACTGACGGCATTTCCCTGTTCCAGGTAGCCGTGGTGCTCACCGCGTTGCTGGCGGTGTCGGCGCAGCAGTACCAGCGGCCCGGCAGCAATTACGTCGACGATTACGCGCAGTACGACTCGCAGGGTCCGAGCCAGCCTAGCCCGCGCAGCTACGCGCCGAACGACGTGCCGTCCCGACAAGCGGCGGCGCCGGAGAACCCGAAGCCGACGGCGCCGGTCGCGATCCTGAAGCAGATCAATCGCCACAATGAGGACGGTTCGTACACGTACGGCTTCGAAGGCGCGGACGGCTCCTTCAAGATCGAGACGAAGCTGCCGACCGGCGACGTCAGGGGCAAGTACGGCTTCGTCGACGACACTGGCAAGGTCCGCGTGGTCGAGTACGGCGCGAACCAGTACGGCTTCCAACCCGCCGGCGAAGGCATCACCGTCGCCCCGCCGACCTTGATCGACGAAACCACCAACAAGGACGGTGTTCAGATTCAGGAACAGGATTACGATTATCAGCAACAACAGCCACAACAGCAGGCACCTCGTCCAGCCTACAGACCCCAACAACAGGCGCACACCCAAGCTGTGTACGCACCTGCGCAGGTAGCTCCGAGCAGACCCGCTCTTCCGAAATCGCCCATCTTCACGCCGGCCGCACCGGCACCGCGGAATCCGGGCTACGACGAGCCAGCGCCGAGTTCCCAGCTTTATAATCAGGGACCGGCACAGTTCAGCCCGGCGCCGGACCAGGAGCGCCGCTCTCAGCCGCAGCCGCGCAGCGGAGCAGGCGGTATCCTGGATCAACTTGCCAGGGACTACGCCTTGCCTCAGGGAGTCGCACCGCCGCTACACGACATCAGCTTTGGCTATTACTAGATCGTCTCTAGTCCCGTGTCCAGCGGAGAATGTGAGAGAGAGAGAAAGACAGCCTGAGCTCAGTCGACGATCTCGGGAGATCCTAGAGTCTATGACAATTCTTGTAGGAAGTACTCCGCATAGAGAATATTTTACGGTCTAATTGCGATCTGGTCCGACATCTCAAAATAATTATGGATTCTACTCTGTTGGAAAAACATCAGGTGAGAATCTATACAGGAAATCCATATGGAATCCCACGATTGTCTCTAAGGATTTGGATCTCAAAATCCAGGTCTTAGGTATCAATCTACGTGAATTTTGAATATTCCATATGGAGTTTTCTTGGATTTCCACCTGGAAGTTTTTAACAGAATAATTCGGAGATCTACGTAGATTCTGGTTAGAAGCGTCGAGCTTCAAATATACTATTCACAGTGGGAGACATAAGCAGACCTATTTGGTCGCCTCCAATGTTTTTCTAAAGACTTTTCCGGTTACCTGCTATTTCACAACTTATAGTTTGAACAAATTATACGAAATGCTTTAAGTATTTACACACTGAGAGAAATACCTCGGATATCAGAACAAAAATTCACCTGTTATTCGATGACCTAACAGGAAAACAGATCCATCCGTTACTATTGCAAATCATTCATCAATATTCATCATTTTAACTATACACATCGATACAAACCATATTTGTTCTTGCCTACTCGTTCCCAAGCAACACGTAAACGTTCGAAGAACGTCCGCTTTACGTTCACTTGGTTTGGTTATATTCAAACAAAGTGGCATTTTTGCTACATAAGATATGTATTAAAGGTTCTAAAACGTATGTTCTTCGGACGTTCCCACTTTGTTTGAATATAACCAAACCAAGTGAACGTAAAGCGAACGTTCCTCGAACGTTTATGTGCTACTTGGGATCACATGCGTTCCCAAGATGGACTCATTTCTTGTCACTATATCTACAAACCATATGTGTTACAAAGAACCGATGACTTACATTAACAAAACTTTTCTCTCAGTATACTTTATAAGCATACACACGCTATGCGCGCGCTATTAAACATAGTAACATTAAAAATATAACCTTGTTTGTTGACCTCCTAATCTGATATTCGGTCAAACTGTCACTCAGCATCGCAGAAAAGACCCCGTTGAAAATTTCCAGGTGGACTCCCTTAGAAGAACATGAGAATCCATCGACATTTATATAGGAAATTCAAACTCCAAATTGGAAATTCATATAGGAATCCATGGAAATTCACATAGGAATCTATTTTTGGACCAAATCTCCAAAAGCAATCATGAGATCCCATATGGATTCCCACCTGGTTTTTTCCGCCAGGAGAGGCTACTCATGTTTGGGACAAGAATGGAATTTCCAATTGGTATCGTAACGGGATAATCTATCTTGGCACAACGTTGGATGTTCTAATCAGAATTTATACTACATATCTAGGAAAATTTAGGAAAATTTCTCTGCGGAAAGTACTTTCTCAATCCGTGTCATTGTAAATTCGTTTGACTTATACGTGGCCAAGAACTCTGCGTCCCCGCGAGCGTCGCGATTGATCCCAGACTCGTCTACGTCCCGGAGCGTGTTGGTCTTGTATTCTATCTATAAATGGGACGAAATGGAACATCCCGATTAATGATTATCCCGGCGTGGTTGTGACGTGGCCCATTTTTCCCGACAGCCGGCCATATCGCGATCAAAATTTGTCGCAAATAGACCGAAGTCGGAAGTCGCAAATCGAAAGCTGACACACTCCGTTTCGTCCGTGTGATGCAACCGTTTATTTAATTATTATATAAATTTATGAATTAAATCCCCCCCCCCCCCCCCCCCCCCCNATTAGAATTGTACATCTGAGGGACGTTAGAGTAGACAAACGCGATAGATCTCATCTTTTCCATATTGCATCCATCATCAGCGATGAACTATCATTAATCAATCGGTAGCAAAATACAAAACTGACAAATGATGATGAGGATCAATTCGCCGCAATACAAACGGACGAAACGGATCTTTAGCTTTACCACCTGTATTCATTTTCATGAAACGGAATAAGAAAGTTTGCCCGAGACAATCTGAAAGCGAGAAATGCCGATTTTCTCTTCAACAACTCGAGCGCCAACATTCGACTTCTTACTTCGACCATGATTACTTCTTGCGGGCGTTCGACCGAGCTAGAAAATTTGATGTCACCCTCTTACCGATCATCGAGATTATCGTTACGCGTATCATGATCTATCGGGAAAAATCGTTCGTGCTCGGCTCTGCAGATGCGACGCGACGACCGGATGACAGCGGGAGCTTTAAAACTGTTCTGTGAAAAGAAGAATGTAAATAAAATTTCTCATCCGCCTCTTTTTCCCGGTGGTCGGCCGTTTTTGCTCTAGAAAAACGCCCTGAGAATTCGGGCACCGTTGTTCGCGAAGCAACCGCACGTTTGCGACAGGGTTTCGCGTGAGCGCAATGTAAATTGTGAGCGCGCTCGCTATTGTAATTAGATTATTGTAAGGTAATTCGAGTGGAATAAAGCGAGGCCAATACTAAATTCTCTGCTGCCTACTGCGGAATACGCAAAATTCCACCCGTGCGATGACGGTGCGCAATAAAATTTCCCGATTTCACCTCTTCAATTACGCTCGTTAGGCGTAAAGGTGTTCCCTATACTCGTGCACGTTTACGTTGAACGCACGAGGGAACGCTTCCGCCTGAACGTGGTAATTTACGCTCGATTCTAAGTTACCAGATTGTCCTTCGCATTTACAAACGCGGCGAGACAAGACCCTAATTGATTTCGCGCGTCAAAATATCACGCGTTTGATTGCGTCATATTTTAAACAACGATCCGACACTCGACGTTAATACTTCTCCTTGTCTAATCGCTCACATCTCAACCGGATCTCCAGATTGCTTCGAGCTAATATCATATTAACTTTTCCAATGATTAGTTTACAGTGTTGCTCACCGAGTCAATTCAACCGAGCGCTTCGTGTAATCAGACGAAAGTTCGCCTCGAAGCCGCTTTGAGATTCTGTTTCGCAATGTCGCCTTTTTTCTCTGCACGCTTCCGTTTATTACGCGCAAGAATGATTCAACAACGCCTATTGCGCGGCAACCAAAGTCACATTCTTGCAAAAACGGCTGCTCGCGCATTCGCGATCTTATCGTTCCTTTTTGCGGCCTCTAAAGATTACGAAATTGCACGCGCGGAGAGACGGGGATCATTCTCGGTTTTCTCACGGGATTAATCCTGTGCGTAACGAAATTTTGTCCTTTATCCTCTCTACACGATCGCTTGCCAAAATCGCCTTGTTCTCTCACGCTTCTCGTCGTTCCCTCGCGGTTACGCCATAACGACGACTTAGCAGGTATCTCAGCAAATTTGTCCGTCACTTTCAGAAATATCCGTCACAATCGGAACTCGTTGCATCGAACAAAGGAGTTCTACTTTCGTTCGGAAAGTCTCAAGGTGAGCGAGCCGGTACTACATTTTTCTCTCGGTGTGCTAAATATCTATCCTCAAAAGTTTACCACGACCGGTTTAACGGAAAAGTCTCGCGCGCTATGTGAACCATTAGGTATTCCGAACTCTCGGTAGAATGCGCGACCTTGCTGGCTTCGCGGTTTTTTCCTCGTGTCGTTCCTTCCGGTAACTTTTGCAACGAATGGCCAGAAATAAATCTGCGCAAAACAGATTTGATTGACGCCTTCCTTTCCCATTTATTACCATCACTTTGTCATTAGTTATGTATCACGGTTATCCACTACGATATTAAAACATGCGTTCCTACATGCATGACCCGCATTGTTTCATATTGACATTGAGAGAAAAAAATATCCGAAAAATAAAAAAATATCTATTCGGTGGATATATTAATGATATATTTATTAAAAATGTGAAATATGTTAAATTTAACACAAAATTTTTTATTGTGCAGAATTTTAATTACATTTTGAATAAATTTGATGCTTATGGTTGTTGATACGTTAATCTTATGATACATTTACGGACATATAAAAATAATACTTGAAACAAGTAATATTTATTTTTGAATGGAGTATTTATTTTCCTGTATGCTCCTACCGAATATTTCAGAAATATTTTCAGAAATATTTTTTATTCCTTGGATACATTTTTCTCAGTGTACGTCATCAATGAATACTTTTGGAGTGACTTTCATCCCTCGGTTTCTTAATGTCGTTTTGACGCGTATAATATCCTCGCTTACTTTTGCTTGTATTGCACATTTCAGAGCCATGTTCGAGGACGCATGACAAATTTTCTCTCTCTCTCTCTTTCTTCTTTTTTCTTCCTTTTCTCTCTCCCATCACGATTTGCAAGGTGAAGACTCGCGTGCCACACCTATTCACGAAGGGCGTCATTCGTATGTTAGTATAAGCGCCGTGTATTCGTGATTGCAGGACAAAGTGCAACGAATAGCCTGGCGTCACGCCAGACAATCACGTCATAACGCACTTTTCTGTAAGGTGGCTATTACATCGTATGTGTGTGTATGTGTGATGACCTTCTTGTATGCAAAGAGACACCGCGCCGTCGGATGCAATGACCTGCAGATGGAGACGTTTGTTTAGCGAGTGCACATCAATACGTAATGATATTCGTCTCATAGAAAGTTAAAACGATCGTCGCGATTGTCCCGACTGTGATTGCTCTAAACAACCCGTTTATCCGAGCAAGATTCATCGGCAGGAGTTAATCGCGGTGAGTTCTGAACTCGCGATGATTCAACGGAGAAGTGGCACACTGCGGTTGTCGCACGTGCGAAGCTCGTCGAGTGTGCAAGTCCGCGGCAAAATTACGCGTGGCTCACGAAATCGTGCACGCTGCTCAAACGGACGGTTGACACTTGTCAGCTAGGCGAGTCACGCAAAACGTTTCAACATTAGACGGGCTGGCAAACTTCGTTCGCCGGGACTAAATTTATATTCTCCGTCCCGGAGGTGCATGATAACGTTGACGCAAGCGATCGTGACGTTTGATCGAGGCGGACATTTGGAAGGAGTAATCGAAACGTCCATTTATAATTCTCCTCCTTGATCTATCGATCCTCGGGGAAGTAAAATTCCTCCTCCAATTTATCATTCCATTAAAGCTCGTGGCTGGACTAGTAAGGTTAAAGAAAAATAGTTCGAAATAGGATCGGAGCGTGAAAAAATATTCCCGACGTAAAAACTACGTCACAAAGATTAATTTTGCAAAATTTAAATAAACAGCGATATTTAAGATTCTTTTTAAACGGAGGATGATATGAGAAGAAGTTATACACATGTTTTTTTTTTGTAACTTTCTGTCTATGGCTTAATCAATTTTCTTCTACAGCCAATATTTAATAATTATAACAACTTGGTGCAAAATTGACTTTTATAATGTACTTTTTATATAAAAAACGTTTCTCCGGTTCCATTTTCAATTATTGTTTTTTGTTAACCTTACTCTTCTAGCCATAAGCTTTAATAGGTTAATCATGTCCGATCTCTTTGTATATTTTTTAAAGTGCAGCTAATATTTTTTACACCGTCATTATTAGTGTTTTACTGATAAACGAATTTGAGAGTCGCTCGAAGGATCGTTTCGTGATTCGTTATGGTAATTAGTGACAGCTAGGCATTCCACGTAGACGCGTGACGGAATGGTAGTATCCGGCCGAATAAACTTTTACGTAACGTGAGAAATAAGGCTGATTAAACTGCGAATTACACGCGAGTTATGAGAGGGTAACGAAACGAAGATATATGTAACGCGTCTGTAAACACCTAGACCGGATCTGTGAGCGTGAAAATAGCCTCGTGAAAATAACTTTCCCCTTCGAAAGTTTTAAGACGGTCAGCTGAGCGCCGCGGAATTCGCTCGCGATCGCGTCAGGAAGTGCGGCAGCATTGATAATGAACTGTGCTCGCGAGCATACACGGTTCCTCGCAATGTGTACGCGAACATAATCAAGATACACGTCACGCAATATACGCATAATGCGCGAATTTACTTTCCGTATATAATGATCAATTATTTCAGATCGGATTCTCTCTCCGTTCTGAAATTCTCCTTCTGCGCATAACTGCATGTTATTACGATCATTCCAATATCTACATTTTAATTTACCGAAGTAGATAGTACATTTGTGAAGTACGATTGAGAAGACGAAGAAAAAATTCTAGGAATTCTCGTAATTTAACGAAATTGCGCTTTATCTCTTTATGAATTATTGGTAACAACAATATTTGTGTCAAAATTGTGCCATAAATTTAAAATCTACATAGATAATTTGCATGTTGCCTACGTGATGTTTACATGGACTTTTCTCGCGTAGATAATGTAAATTATATAAAATATTATAAATTACATGGTATAATGCAAGGAGAGAGCATAAATTATTAGTTATAGTTATAATATAGTTTAAATTATATTAACTATATAATAGTTCACGTATCCGATTTTGATGTTAATTATGAGGATATTTAATATTAATGTTAAGAATTCGAAAGTTGATACATGCAAATAATATGGAAATTTTACCATTTAAATTCACCTGTGGGCTCTCAAACGGGAAAAAGCATTGCTTCCTAATTTATGATTACAATAGGGACAATAGCCATATTATTGTTTTCCTTTTTTATCAGTGCGAAATCAAGTTTACCAAATCTATTGTTGATTTTTCATGACATTGTAAAATATTAAAATTGTACCGTGATGTTTAAACCAAACAATTTCACAAATTTTTTAATAAGTAACATTAGATAAAAGTTATAATGTAAAATTTATTTAGATATAAATGTTATTTAAATTTACCTGTAAGTTTTAACAGAAACAAA